ACAGGCCAGCCGTCCACGCCCCCATCCCCAACTACAGGCCAGCCGTCCACGCCCCCATCCTCAACTACAGCCCAGCCGTCCACGCCCCCATCCCCAACTACAGGCCAGCCGTCCATGCCCCCATCCTCAACTACAGCCCAGCCGGCAGAGCCATGGGCCTCCGACCTGGGGGTGAACTCTTCACCAGCTGTAGTGAATTGAAGGGGGAAGAGAAAGACTGTGTGGTCAATTTCTCACAAAAGTAAGTTTATTCAAGAGGGAAGAGAATGCTGCCCCCCCAAAAAAAATACAACTAAGTTTATTTGATTTTAACAACCACCCCGCAGTTTGAAATTTTATCCTCCCTGCTACTCTGGATTTCTGTAGTGATTTTATGAAACGGGGAAAGGTGTTTCCAATTTTTGTTTTTAACACCTTCCCTTAAAAATGCTTCACTCTAGTCTGTGAAATCTGAAAGCCTGAAGAGTACGAAGTTGGTCTTGTCCACGCAGGTCATTAGCTACAAGGCCAATGAACACATGAGAGGGACCGACGTCAGACGAGGAAACAGGGCTAAGGATGTGGATCGAAGACCAAACCCAAAAACAGGTCCCTCTCAGCACGTCGACGATCAAGGGTCAGGCAGGAACCTCCTTCTAGATGCTTAACGAAGCAGCAGGAGCAGACCACAGTGTTCACACAACGTCCAACTCACATAAGCTCTTACTTCACAGATGCAGACCACAGACGGTGCTCACACAACGTCCAACTCACATAAGCTCTTACTTCACAGACACGTCGTGAACGTTAAGCAATGCGTGACTGTATATAATACCTGGAACAACCATTACATAAGCAATAAAAAATACACTGAAAACCACTCCAGATCAAAATGGAATTCTAAGAACTGTTCGAGTGAAACCACAGGAAGGCAGGAAAAGGCAACAGACCAAAACACAGAACAAATAAAGCCTACTACTTCAATAATTACACTAAATGTAACAACCTAAAAAAAAAAGCAATTAAAAGAGAGACTGACGAAGTGGGAAAAACATGATGCAACAAGATGCTGTCTACAAGAGACTCCTGTTAGATGGAATGACAACAATGAAGGATGAGAAGGTACCGTGAGCAAACATCAACCAAGAAAAAGCAGACTGCAGCAAATGACGGGCCAGCGAGGGACGTTACAAATGACAGAAGGGTCGACCCACCAAGACGACACAGCAGTCCCGAGCGTGTGCACCAACAAGCAGAGCGTAAAGTGTGTGAAACAGAAACTGTAGGACCGCAAGGAGGGAGACCCAGTTGTAACAGAAACGCCAACCTCCCCTTCCCAGCTGAGGCTGGAGCACCCCATCCCCCCAGCAACTGTCTCGTTATCCAGAACTTGCCTTTATGACGACAGTGATAATCCACCTCCTACTTACACATGAACTACGTACACCTGGCAGTAACAAACACTCAGGTGCAAGGCAGGGTCACACTGGCCTTGATGGTTGGGGTGATATGTCAACTTAGCTGGGCCACAATTCTCAATGGTTTGGTGGCCATGCAATGATGAAATCAGGCAGTTATGTGATGATGTGGTCATCCTCCATTTTCACCTCACCTGGTCTTTGGAACCTCACCATGTTGATAACTGAGGAACGGGCGTACAAAAGAACTATCACCACCATCTACCAACAGTACCTGATGCTGACAGAACACTCTACCCAACAACTAACACACCTTCTTTTTAAGTGCCCACGGAACACGTACCAGATGGACCATATCCTGGGCCTGAAAGCAAGCCTCCATGAATAGAAAAGAGTTGAAACCACAGCAGGTGTGCTCCACAGGGGCAACAGAATACACGACAGGTCAGTGACAGAACAGCAGGAAAACCTTCCAACACTCGGAAAGTAAACCACACACTTCCACAGAACACGTGGGTCAGAGAGGAAGCCTCCAGGAAAGAAAGACCGATCAAACGGAATGAAAATGAAAATACAACTTATCAAAAAATACAGCCTGGGTCTGACAGAGCCTGGTGGAAGCCCTGAGACTATGGCCCTAGCTGCCCTTCAGGTCTGGAATTGAACCCACTCCTGTGGCTTCCAGCCAAACAAAAGACAGGCATATGAGCTGAACATTTACTTGAGGTAGATACACTCCTTGGAGAGAACAATCATGGGAGAATAGAATGGCTGTGTATGCACAGGGAGACAGCTCGGGGGGCAGGGGTGCATGGAGGGAAGGACACAGGGAAGAGATAATTATGGAGAGGAAGTAGGAGGGGAGCTGTTGCATTGTGGGAAATTGCAGTCAATGTCATGAGACAAAGTGTATGTGAGCTGCTGTACGGAAAGTGAATTTGCCCTAAAAACTTTCACCCAAATCAGAACAAAAAGTTAGGAAAAAAAAAACCAAATGAAAAAAAAAACTAAAGAATTTATACTACACAGCAAAAAAAAAAAAACAACGCAGCACGTCCCAACTGGTGGGACGCAGCCGACGCAGTCCTGAGGACAGGATGAGGGCGTGCACAGCACTGTGAGCACATCTAATGGGTGCTACGCTGAGTGAGAAAAGCCAACTTCAGAAGGGCACACACTGCACGATTCCATTTCTAGAACATTCTCAAAGCAACAAAACTGTAGGGACAGAGAATGAATTAGCACTGTCGGGTTAGGGCTGGGGAGGGGAGTGCACGAGACTGGAGCTCGCGAGGTCACAGTCATGGTGGGGTATTTCCGTATCTCAATAGTGGGGTGGTTGTGCACACTGACACACGTGATAAATGGCACGCCTGGACCATGTTGGTTTCCTGGTTGGGATGTTGGCCTACAGCTGTGAGAGATGTAAGCCCTGGGAGAGACTACATCGCTGCGGCTTCCTGGGAGCCTGGAGATCTGAAACGAGTCTCCTCTTACTGCTCACACTACACGCCAGGCTCCCCAACACGCTTCTTGCAGACACCTGTCCCCAGCCCTCACGACCACCTGTGACAGTCCTGTCATTGTCTCTGTCCCCCAGCCCTCACGACCACCTGTGACAGTCCTGTCATTGTCCCCAGTTCTCATGACCACCCATGATAGACCTGTCATTATCCCCATCCCCCAGCCCTTACGACCACCCGTGACAGACCTGTCATTGTCCCCAGCCCTCACGACCACCCGATAGACCTGTCATTGTCCCCAGTTCTCATGACCACCCATGACAGTCCTGTCATTATCCCCAGTTCTCACGACCACTCGTGACAGTCCTGTCATTGTTCCCAGCCCTCACGACCACCCATGACAGTCCTGTCATTATCCCCAGTTCTCACGACCACCCGTGATAGACCTGTCATTGTCCCCTGTTCTCATGACCACCCATGATAGTCCTGTCATTGTCCCCAGTTCTCACGACCACCGTGATAGTCCTGTCATTGTCCCCATCCCCCAGCCCTCACGACCACCTGTGACAGTCCTGTCATTGTCCCCAGTTCTCACGACCACCCTTGTAATAGTCCTGTCATTACCGTCATCTCCCAATCCTCACGACCACACCTACACTAGTCCTTGTCATTGTCCTCATCTCCCAGCAAGAGACTGAGGCACTGCAGAAAACAGCTCTGTGGCTCAGGACCCCAAGTTCTAAGGCACTGGGTGTCAAGTTCTCCTCCCCAAGTTTGGAAATCTGGGCTGACCTTACCCAGAATCCAGCACTGAGTGTGAATCATGCCAGTGGACCCGTTTCCAGCCCTGGAACGGGCTCTCGTTGGGCCAAGCAACCTAGTTTCTTCCCGTGCTCCTCACGGGAGGTAGTTTCCAGACCCACCCCTGTGCTCCGCGCATGCTCAGGACCAGTGCCTCGCTTACACCCCGGTCCCAGGACTCCTGATACGCGGGGCTCTAGGGACAGCAGTCTGCAGAGAGACCCGAATCATTTAGTCTGTTTCTCCCAGGGACACAAAAGTATCCAGATGCTAACGGTCAGAGTGATGACAGTGGTGGCGGTGACGCCGTGTTTCAGCGCAATTACAAATGAGGGTGGGAGAGCACAGGTACCGTCTCAGGAGCCACATGATGCTGATGACAATCCTGCTTCTGCTCCGGATCCACCCCAGACAGACCACAAACCCCCGAGTCTCAACTCATCCCCAGAAAGTAGGTGGAACAACGGGTCCTGCCCATCTTAGAATCTCTAGAAAGATCAGCTGAGACGGGGCATGAGGGATGTCTTGTCCACACCAAGAATGACCCAAACAGAGGCTCCTGTAAGCGACCCCATCCTGACACCAATCTCAGGCTACAAGGGGTCCCTGAGGTCCACTGGGTCCCTCCCAGTCCTTCTGTGCCCTTTCCAACGTCCCCTCCATCCTACGGGAGACGTGGAGCCCAGACTGGCCTCTCGTGGACCTGGGCTGCAGCCCAGCTCCTGGGTGCTGTGCCAGGGCTAGACTCAGGGTGGCCCTAAAGCTCTCATTCCTTCTACAGACACAGCCCCCGCACAGACACGGCCTTCCACCCCAGCAGACGACAGAGAGGAACACTACCTTCTTCAGCTCAATAATCTCATTGTACATGTCTTCCTTCTCTCTGTAGACGGGGGTCCCAGGAACACGACCTGGAGGAGACACGCACCTCTGAAAGATTATCTGAAAGGGAGGAGGGGTTCCCAACTGCACCCGAAGGAAGACCTGGAAGCTAATAAAAATCATCCTTTAAAAAAAGAGGGGAGAATAAAAGGAGGCCAAATATGGTTTAAAGCTTTTTGTTTGATCAAGGCAGCAAACCCTTGGCCGTGGAGTCGATTCCGACCCACAGCGCCCCTAGAGGACAGAGTGGAACTGCCCCACGGGGTTTCCAAGGCTGTAACCTTTCCGGAAGCTGACTGCTTGCTTAGTCTTTCTCCCACAGAGTGACTGTTAGGTTCAAACCACTGACCTTTTGGTTAGCAGCCAAGTACTTAGTGCTGCACCACTAGGGCTCCTCTCCCAAGAAGCAAGGAAACAAAAAAATCATAGTGATACAGAAAGATAAAGTGAAAAAAAAGTAAAGACTTCACTTCAAGTGAAAAGATTAAAGAAGGGAGCTGCAAAAGGGGGAGTGATGTGCTATATTTTGTTTATTTGCGTTACTGTGATTCGGTTGAAAGTTTAAAGAGTTAAGTTCATCTTCGTACAACAGTTCACACACGCTGCTGTTTCATGACACTGACTATAACCCCCCATGTGACAGCCCCCTTCCCACCTCCTCTCTGGTTCTCTTTTCCCTGTGTCCTTCTTTCCTACGCATTCCTGCCCTCTGAGCTCTCTCCCTGTGCACGCATTACCCTGTGTTCTCCCACAATTGACTGCTCTAAGGAGTGTACCTACCTGATGTAAACATTTACCCTATATGCCCATCTATTGTTTGGCTGGAAGCCAGGGGAGTGACTCTAATTCCAGGTCTGAAGGGTGATCAGAGGCCATAATCTTAGGGGTTCCACCAGTCTCTATCACAGCAGTAAGCCTGGTCTTTTTTTTTTTTTTTTTCGTGATTTTGAGTTTTGTTCCACATTCTTTTCCCAGTCTATCCAGGATCTCCTACACTGATCCCTTTCTGAGCAGTTGACAGGGGTAGCTGGGCACCATTTAGTTCTTCTGGTCTCAGCGTCAATACGTTCTATTTTAAATAGCAAACACATAAAGAGACAAGCAAACAAAAATGCACACCATCTACCCCACACCTGTCCCGATGTGAAACAGCAAGGTCTTACTTGGTTTCAACAGCTATCTAGTAATCAGGACTGCAAAACAGTGATGTCTGAAACACAACTCCTAACCACTCAAACAATACCTAAGGCATCTGACTGCTAACCAGAAGGTTGGTGGTTCAAACACACCAGCCACTCCCTGGAAGCAAGACTGGGCAACCTACTTCTGTAAAGATTTACCGCCTCGGAAACCCAATGGGGGTCACCATGAGACAGATTTGACTGGAGGCCCTGAGTTTGGTTTTTTGGTTTTGGAACCACTCAGAGCAGTGAGGTGACAGTGCTTGACTAACCTAATGGTGGCGATCTGAGTCCACCCACAGGTCCCTCAGGAGAAAGGGTCAGCCATCTGCCTCTGAAAGGTTGCTGCTGTCAGAAACCCCAGAGCCCCGTCCCACTCCAGTCCCGTCGAGGGTCATGGTGGCAAAGGGTTCGCGGCGTGCTCAGGTCTGGGAGCTGAGTGCTCATCCCAGCAAGGGCTACGAGAAGGCCATCAAAGGGCAAAGGCAAGACAGGAAGACAGTAAAGGAGAACGGGCCTATTCCTCCGGTGGATCCAGGCTTCTCCTTATTACTCAGGTGCGGTGGTAGCGCAGTGGGTAGGCACTCAGTGGCCAGCTAGGAGGCTGGCAGATGGAACCCACCCACTGCTCCAGGGGAGAGAGATGTGGCCATCTGCCTCCGTAAGGCTTACAGCCTTGGAACCATGTGGAGCAGTTCTACTCTGTCAGGAAGGGGCTGCCCTGCGTCAGAATCTGACCTGATGGCAGTAGATTTTATATCACTATTTGCAACTTTCATTCCCAAGCTTAACAAGGTTCGTACAGTAAATCTGAAGACGACCATAAGTGTGGGAGGTGGACAACAGCCAAGCCTCCAAAGACTCCACCCACTTCCTGAGGGCAGGTGGGGCTTTCAGGAGCCACACCCACCACCCTGTTCCACAATCTCCTACTGGTGGATTGAGGCCAGGACGCAAAGACCGCCTTTGTCAAAGGACCCCTCTCTCCGTGCGTTGCCTCTCCTGTCAGGCCTCGTCCTGCCGTGCTCACGGGTGCTGGCCGAGCGTCCGAGGCTGGCGCTGTGCATCCTCAGAGCTCCTGTCAGATGGTCGGGGGTGCTGCTGGGGCACTGGTCCAGGCCTGCTCCCAGCTGAGGGCTGGTTTCAGGGCTTGGGTCAAACGTCCTGGTTTGAATGTGCATGGACTGAACATGACAGGAGCGAGCCAACACGACAGAAGGTCTGCCTCCACGGCTCAGCCTTCCCGGCTTAAAGAGCGCTTCCGGCAGCCGGCAGGCGGCTGGGATGGCTGCCAGGGGGCTGCCGGCAAGGACTGAGCCGTCAGCCCTCCAGAAGAGGCCGACTGGAAGCCTCACCCACTTCCAAGGTGGAAACAGCCCCACCATGGCCGATTTCAAGCCCCCATGTGTGACAACCAGCTCACAAAATTCCTAAAGATTTAGCCGTCGGCCACCAGGAGCTAGGAGGGGCTGGTCCGGCAGCCACGCCTGCAGGGCCCACGTCACACAAAGAGCAGAGGCTGCAGAGCAGCCATGTGCCAGAGGCCACTGGGCAGCACAAAGCCCAAAGCCCACAGGACGGCAAACATGCGATCCAGGCACTGAAACCGCACCTCAACCACCGCCGACAGCCCCGATGGCCTCACACCAGGCAGGGAGGGCACCTGGCGGCACCAGCACCTACCTGGCTTGCAAGTTCCCAGCCACAGCTTCTGTGGGGTCAGGGACACCCTGCTGCTCAGAGGCATGCTGGTCGCCGTCCTGCGGGACCTCCAGGGGGCCACGTTTCCAGGCTTAGCGTGGTAAGGTGACTCTACAAACCAACACATGATGTCAGTGTACAAAGTGACAACACTTCCCAGCCTGTGTGCTTCAGACAGACAGAAAGATGCGTGAAACCCAACAGTCCCAAGGGCATGACAACCCTAGATTAAACTGTTCAGAAACAACCCTAAATTAGAGTTAAGTCTAAGTTAGACAACCCTAAATTAAAATGACAGAAATAAAGAACACAATCACAACACAAGTGCATGAACACACACATGCTTGTACGTCTCTAATTACTATCGTGAAGAAAAACAAGGGAAATTTAAAGTGTAAACCTGTAACAATTTCCCATCCAGTTCTTTCAGACCCATATGTACTTAGCAACAGCGAAAACAGTTTTGAAAACAGTTTTGTGTCGTTTATAGTCGGGTTGCTACAAACTGACAGGAGTGAGACTACTCAGAAGGTGTAGTTCCCCAGAGAAAACAGGAAAGTCGCGCCTTCAGAGCACTCTATCCTGGGTCCCAGTGCAGGGAAAATTTTTTTAAACATTAAATCTGTGGTTTCAGAGTTTTGTTGTTGTTGTTGTTATGTGCCGTCGAGTCAGCCCTGACTCATAGCGACCCCTCCTTGGGTTTCCAAGGCAGTATCACTATGGAAGTAGGATTGCCCAACCTTCCTTCCGGGGAGTGGCTGGTGGGTTTAAACTGCCAGCCTTCTGGTTAGCAGTCAAGTGCCTTAGCCACTATGCTACCAGAGCTCCCGAGTTTTAGTCATGCAAAATATGACAGATTCATGTAAAAATTAAGGTATTCATAAAACATTTTATTTTTAAAGAAGCAAATACATTGCTCCCTTTAGAAGGTACTGAAAATGTAAGTCTAACATAAAAAAAAACTCACTGAGGTCGAGTCGGCTCTAACTCACAGCAACCCCTCCTTGGGTTTCCGAGGCGGTATCAGTACGGAAGTAGATTGCCCCATCTTCCTTCCAAGGAGTGGCTGGTGGGTTAGAACTGCCAACCTTCCGGTTATCAGTCAAGTGCCTTAGGCTTGACTCCTAAGTCTAACATAGTCCTCTAACACAGAGCTCCTAAGTCTAACATAGTCCATTTTTTTCCCTTTTCCATGGTTTCACAATTTATGGGAAATTCCTCATTCTAACTTAGGAGGAGGAAGGAGAGACCCGCCGGAGTGGGGAGTGGGACGTCTCTCACCTCAGACCTTGTGAACTTCCAACACTCCCCCTAGTTGTCATTTATGATGGAAATTAACCATCAGGAAAAACCCACAAGTTTCTTTTCTTCCTGAACTTGTGTGAACTGATTGGCAGAGAGTGTCCACGTGCATACGGACACAGCTAGGAAGAGAGACAAGACCAATGACAGCAGGGTGGTGGACGTACAATGGTGTCTGATGAGGTCCCCTTAACAGAACCCACCCTGGAGGGGCAGCAACGCGGCCACCCTTGCTTTCCACAGAGCAGCTGTGCCTTCAACCTGAGAAATGGTGGGAACAGCAAACCTGCAGGGCATTGCAGAGAGTCAGGCAGTGCACACGACACTCGGGGCTCTGCCCTCATGGCACCAGATGCCCAGACAGATGCCCACCAGCAGGTGCTCTGTGACGGGTCTGCCCTGGGGTCGGGGTGCTGAGGGGCAGGGGTTCCGAGGCTGTGACGGGCCTGCTCTGGGGTTGGGGTGCTGACGTCTGAGACAAGAGCAGCAGCGTCAGAGGACACCACTGTTGGGGAGCTGGGAACTGAGTCTGTGCCCCAGTGTGTGCAACATGCATTTGTGACAGGAATGGCACGTGGCTGAGAGAGGCACCTAAAACCACCCGTCCCCGTTACACCCACTGACGGTGTCAGCCGCTGGGAGCCGAGTCCTGCCCCCACCACGGGTGCCGGGTAGAGCCACTCTGTGGAGCTCTCCTGTGGGCTGGAGGCTCCCAGGGCTGGGCCATTCTAGGAGCAGACCAGGCCTGTTTTCTGAGAGGCCTCTGGGTGGGATCAAACCAGCAACCCTGCAGTTAGCAGCTCAGTGCTTCACCATCTGTGCCACCAGGGACTCTACTTACATGGACGGGTATATGGCCAGCATTAGGAAAGGCCACAGGTTTGGGGGCAGACAATCTCAGATTAAAGTTTGTCAAACAGTTTCAAAAGCTCAAGATTCACACATGGACCACGGGGCCCTAGAGCAATGGGAGGAGGACAGGGTGACCATCTGAGGTCTCAGTGGCCACCTGGACTCACTCTCAACCCTGCAAGGCCCCCGACAAGCACTCAGCCCCTAGAAGCCCATCAAGGAGGTGTTTCCACCAAGCAAGCTGCCTCTCTCCTTCCAAGGGGAAGGCTGAAGAATTGTGCCAGAGAAACAGGCCCAGCGGGACTCCAGAGAAAACAGCAACACAAGAGAGACCTCCACATGGCCCGGGAAAGACCTCCACTCGCTGCCCCAGACAGCAGCTCTGACCTCAGGCAGGCTCCTGAGGTGACAAAGGCCTTTCCCAGGTCACACGAAATGGAGGGGCAGTGAGTTCACGTCATCGGGGAAGGAGCGGTTTGGAAAAGGCGGGTGGGAGAGGTGGCACAGCTCGAGGAACGCCATCCGTGTGAACGGGGGGAGGGAGCTGGTTCGGTTCCGTCCTGCGTGGTGGAGTCACAACAGTAACACAAGGACGAGAACTCAGAACAGGAGAAAAGGCCTGCAACTCTGACGGCATTCGGAAGAGGGAAGCTCTGTGGGAAAGAGAAGACGAGGGGCGGGGGCCCTGACCTTGCTGGACAGCTCTCTGGGACGGTGGACAGACAATGGCCAGGGCTCCTCCTGCACTGCCCTGCCCCCCTAGCTGGGTTTCATCTGACCAGGAAGTTCCACGAGAGCGCAGTCTCCCAAGATCCCAAGAAAAAGCGGAGCCAGTTGGTGAAGGTGTCTCGTCTCAGCTAACCGTACAAAGAGGAGCCCTGGTGGCACAGTGGTTAAGCGCTCGGCTGCTTCACAGGAGGAAGAGGGCGCCGTCTGCTTCCAGGAAGCTTCAGCCCTGGGAACCGTCTGGGGCAGTTCGCCTGTCCCACGGGCTGTGAGCTGAACTGACTCCATGGCAGTGGGTGGCTGGGGACGGAACCAAATCAGCCTCCTTCTCCTCCCAGGGCTTGAGGGAAGGGCAGCGTTCACAGAGCACTTGCGGAGTTAAACAGACGCAGAGGAAGGAGGCCGGGGTCATACTTACTCGGCGATGTGGGTGGAGGCTTGTGGAAACTCGGCCGTTTCGTTTTCTGAAAGAAAAAACCGTGTGAGTGTGTGGGGCCTCCTGTGGGCCTGGGAGGGGCCCAGCAGAGAGTTGGGGGTGTCCAGGACTGGCCAGAGGGAGCAAGAGGGCAGTGAGAGGGGGAGGGAGCAAGAGGGCAGTGAGAGGGGTCATCCACTTGACCGAGACAGGGCAGTGGGGGGACGGCGACTCGGCTGAGACACAGCAGTGACGCGGAACGTCCACTGACTAGGGCTCTGACTCGGGACCTTGGTCTGAACACAGGCAACCACCTGCTGTCCTATCTCCATGCATCCCAGACCCCGGCCAGACCGAACGCTCAGCCCGACCCACTCACCGTCTCCAAGTCAGAGCCAGAGGTAACTGCAGAAAGACTGTCATCTCCCTGTAAGGAGAGAGCAAACACCATCACACAAGACACTTGCTGGGTTGCCAACAGCTGAATGCACAAAAGGGCAAACAGCTGGTCAAGGGGATGAGCCCTGCTGGGGCAGGAACCAACACACCCACCACACAGGGCACCTGCGACTCACAACAGGGCTTTGGCTGGGGCCTGGGTGATGAAAACCCACCCGAAAGGGTGGCTGCTGGCCTGTCACCAGCCACTATTCCCAGACGGGCTGTGCGCCTCAAAGAAGGAGCTCCTGGTAAAAGCACTGTACGTCCACATTGTTTAACGCCGACTCTTACTCGTCCCAGCATCCAAGCACAATGGACCTGTGTCTGTCCCCTGACAAGTCATGTTTGAAAATCAGACTCATCACCCCGTGGGTTGTCTGGGGAGTAGGACATTCGGGTTGATAAAGGCTCCTGCCTTCTTACTCCGAGGACCCTGCCCTGGGCCCAGTGCGTGAACGCGGTGCGCCCCATTTAATGTCAGCACTGGCTGCTTTCCCAAGAGAAGAACGCCTCTGTGCTGACTCCCGTCCTCCAGTGTAAATTCCAACCGGAAAGACGGCAAACGTTAAAGACAATCCCTTCAGAGAGAAACACAGCTGTTCTACCACGCGGCTTCTGGGCCTCGGGCAGGTGCTCGTCACAACTGACGGTGCTGGACCTCGGGAGCGGTGGTCACTACATTTCAGGGCCCACTTTGCCTCTGAGATAGCTGACTCCATGTGGCAGCAGCATGAGACTTCTCCGCAGCCTAAGGGCACGTGTCGTGTGCCAGGCCGACACCGTGAGATGTCAGAGGCGCTGGCACGCTGGACCGTGCTAAGGAGCCAGGCCACCATCTGCCACATGCTTAAGGTGCGTTTGCTCAAACACGGATAGATGGGCCACGTGTGCAGCGTGATCTGGGGGCTCGGGCACCAGGTCACTCTGGAGACACAGCATCTGTATGAGAACCGTCTGTGCACTGAGATTCCTGACATCGCTCAACTGCTGACAACATAAGATGTGAATGATACTGACGACGGCGAGGCGAGGCGCTCGCTCAGCGGGGCACAGCCAAAGGGCCTCAGAGCGAGGAAGGGCACGCAGTGCGACAGACGCTCCGGGAACGCCAGAAACGCCCTGGGGTGCGGTGGCTGAAGCAATCTCCAGCCTCTGAGGAAGGAGCCCTGGGGGAGCGGGGTTAAGCGCCCGGAGGCCGACCCAGAGTTGGGAGTTCAAGCCCACCCATTAGCTCCGCTGCAGAAAGGCCCGTGGATCTGCTCCAGTGAAGACGACGGCTGGGGGCCAGTTCTAGTCTGTTCTGTGGGGTCCCTACCAGTCGGAATCCATTCAGTGGCTCACATGACAACATCCTAAGAGGTGTGCACACCCACGCACTCCCAGACAAGCAGGCAAAGCCAATTACTACAATGAAATGTGCACAAAGACCTGGAGTTAGAAAACCAAAAGGGAGGAACCTGCTAGGCATTTCTCAAGCTGAAAGAACTGAGGAAAAAATGTAAGCCTCGAGCTGCAATATTGAAAGATTCTATGGGCTAAATACTGGACGGTGCAGGAGGCATCAAAAGAAGAGGGAAGGAATACACAGAGTCAGTTCACCAGAAAGAACTGGTTGATGCTCCTCCATCTCAGGAGGTGGCCTATGATCAAGAACAAACGGTACTGAAGGAAGAAGTCGAAGCTGCACTGAAGGAATTGGCCAAGAACAAGGCTCCAGGAATTGACGAACACTCACTGAGATGTTTCAACAAACAGATGCCTCCTTGGAGGCACTCACTCGGTTATGCCAGGAGTTTTGGAAGACAGCTACCTGGCCAAATGACTGGAAGAGATCCATATTTGTACCTGTTCTGGTTACCTGGTGCCACTCTCACAGGTATATATCACAAATGGGATGGCTTGAACAAACAGGAGTTTATTCTCTTACAATTTGGAGGCTTTAAGTCCAAGTTCAAAGTGCCAGGCTCTAGGGGCTGGGTGAAAACCTCTCAACCTTGGCCTTCAGCTCTGCCTCCTGCTCCCGGCCCACTGGAGCTAGAGGCTTTTCTTCATTCAGGCAGCTACTGGCTGCTGAGGCTGACAAGCCCAAGGTCGACAAATAAAATGGCACAGTCTCGATGTTACCAAACCACACGGCTGGCCATTAACTTAAGTCCCCTGAAAGTCCCAAGGTCGGCAGAGCGTAGCAGGCTGGAGAACAACAACACAGCTATGTGCAGGGTCCAAGTGTGCCATAGGCTGGAGACCACTCCCAAAGCTTCTCCTTACATACAGGAAGCAGACCACATCCCAAAGGCAGCTACTCAGCTGCTCACAGTAGATCCCACCATGGAGCTGATTACCAGTCTCATCATAGGGAATACGCCATCCAGCTGCCCAGCCACTCAGCCAGGCCCAGCCAGGCTGACACACAAACCTAAGCACCACAGTACCCATTCCGTAGAAAAGTGATCCCACGTGTGGAAATTATTGAACGGTATCATTAATACTGCATGCACCTAAAAACTTACTGAAGATAGTTCACAGAAACCCATTCATAAGCAACTCTGTTTCTAACAGCAGAAAAGTGAACACCAACTAGTCAAAGCAGGCAAACCTATCTTGCGGCTGTGAGCTGTGCCAGTCGTCCCCGCCTGAGGGCGTCCCCACTCTCAGCAAACAGCTGCGCAGCCCCGCACCGCCCTCGACCACGGCTGCGCCAGGCCCTGGAGAGCCACAGGTGAACATTCCACTCTTCAGAGTGGAGAGCCAGGCCTTTCCTCCTGGTCCCTCTCACTCAGGCAGCTCTGCTGAGGCCTGGTCAACATCCCAGTGAAACCCAAGCCTCCTCAGACAGCCGTGGGATGGCCACAGGGAACTGAACCACAGGCTGGTTTCCAGTCTTTTTCTGGAAAAAGCGTGGATAAGGAAAAATGCTAACAAATTAAATGGCAACGGGTACAAAACAAGGTAAACATGGTCTCGATTTTCAACAATATATGGGCCATGATGCATTCAAACAAGGTTGGAAGGAAACACACCCACTGCTCTCCTTATCCAACATTTCACATTTACAACAACGGTAAAAATTCCACTACCTTGTGCACTGACAATGTACGTCTGGTAATAAGGAATGCTGAGGCGTGAGGGTGTGAGGCAGGAGGTAACACAAGTCGTGAAGCTAAGGCGATGTGCCAACCTGGCTGGGCTCTGATTCCTGTGGTTTGGAAGTTATGGGATGATGTAAACACGCCCCGTTTTTGCATAATGCAGATTTCTGTGTAAGGACCAGTCTCTAGAATAAACTGAACCATGTTGATGAGTGAGGAACGGCTATCACCAGAATGTTAACTGTAGTTTTCTGTGGGTGGTCAGACTATGGGTAATTACTTTTCCAACTTTCTATAATGAGCAAGAGTTATGTTTTAATAACAAGAAGTTATGTTTTTAAAGACGGAAACACAATTAACTAAGGCCAGTATGGACAGGCAGGCCTCCCAGATAAGGCAGTTCCCTGTGAGACACAGTGAGAATGCTGGGGCTCCAAGTTGCTCAGTGCACGGAGCCCCTCCTCCTGTGGGCTCTGAACAGCCCTGCTGGGCAATGGGGCCTGAACGAAGCCAGCTCACCAACGGCTTGGCACCATAGCCTGAATCCCATCTTTAAACCGGAAACCCAAATATCCCGAAGACGGCTTTAAACCAAATTGTTTAGCTTAACTAGTAACGACTGGCTGCCCTGAGCACCATCCATTCACATGGATGAAAGGAGCTCTGGTGGTACAGTGGCTAAGTGCTTGGCTGTGAATGGAAAGGTCAGCGGTTCAAACCCACCAGCCACTCACCAGGAGAAAAACGTGGCAGTCTGCTTCTGCAAAGACTTACAGCCTCGGAAAATTTACGGGACTGCCCTGTACGGTCGTTACGAGTCAGTATCGCCTCCACAGAAATGGGTTTGGTTTTGGTCTCCCCCCACCGGGCCGAGGCTTATGCCGTTTATATCTAGTTAAACACCTAGTTGTGCGTCACGGACTCCGTTCCCACTCACAGCGACCCCACGTGACTGAGCAGAACCGCCGCAAAGGAACAGATCACCGGCCAGAGGCCGCCGATCGGCGCCGTGAACCCCGTGGGGCAGGTGTCCTCTGCGTAGAGCCGCTAGGAGCCGGCAGGACCGCAGGGCACACGCCCGTCTTTCTAGAAAGGAGCTTGCCAGGTCTTCCTCCCACGGGAAGTTAGGGGCCGCCAAAACTACTTGGTAAAGGAACGCACGGAGAGAGGTGAGCCCTACCCTAGGGGCAAAGCTTGGCATTGCCGCCTCCAGGAGGTCTCCCTGCGTCCCCGGAGCCTGAGGCTTCCTCCTCTCGGCCCGTCCGCTGGCCCCGGCGCCGCCTAGGGGCGACAGGCTGGGCTCGCTTACTCCAGGCGCCCTGCCTCACGGACTCCCGGCGGCGAGGGCGCAGCGTCCGGAGGGCTCCCTGACGGCAGCGGCCTCTGCAGGGTGGGCGGGCTTCCGGGACAGCTGAGGGCAGGGTCGCGGGGCGGGGGCCTCAGGCGGGCGCTTGTGCGGTAACAATGACTACAGCCGCCATTAGGGGGCGCCGTGAGGGGTCTCCGTGACTGCGGGAAGGTTCCGAGGCGGCGGGCCTGGCCCAGGCCTCGCGGGGCTACGAGACCAGTCTGTGACCCCGGCCAGGAGAGCAGGGTCGTGAGAGGGCGCGGACAGGCCCGCCGCGCGGACTTACCGTCTCCGAGGCCGGCTCCCCGGCGCCCAGGGACATGGCTGCGGCCCTCGGTGATGCGGGCGCGGCTCCGCCGGCCGCCGAGGCCGCCTGCAGCCACCAGGCCTGCCCGCGCGCCGTGCCGCCAGCCCGCTGCCATGGCAACCGCGCTGCCGATGTGCGGAGGCCCGGATGTAGCGGCGCCTCGCGAGCCTAGGGCGACCGCGCGCGTGCGCTGGCTTTGTGGCCGCCAGCGGACGACCTGAGCACTCCGGAGTTTCCTGGGCCGGGGGGGAAAAAAAAGACAACCAAACCCTGCCATGGAGTCTATTCGGACTCACAGCGACCCCTACTGGGTTTCCGAGGCAGTAACTTTTTAAGGAAGTAGATTGCTTAGTCTCCCTTCCTTGGACTGGCTGGTGGGTTTGAACCGCCAACCTTCTGGTTAGCTGTCAAATGCAAATAGTGCCTAAGGCACTTGACAGCTAACCAGAAGACTGGTGGTTCAAACCCACCAGCCACTCCGAGGAAGGGAGACCAGGCAATCTACTTCCTTAAAAAGTGACCACCTCGGTGAAAAGTGAGTTTGCTCTGCAAATTTTCACCCAAATCACAATTTTTTAAAAAAGAAGTTCTTAAAAAAATTTTTTTTAAAAAAAGTTACCGCCTTGGAAATCCAATGGGGGTCGCTGTGAGTCGGAATCGACTGGATGGCAGTGGGTTTGGATTGGTATCATGTGGGCAGTGCTTAGCAGCCTGCAAGGTGCTGCTGGCGTTATTTTGTTGTTATGTGCCCTCGAGTTAGCTCCGAGGCGGTGTCTCTATGAAGTAGATTGCCCAACCTTCCTTCCCAGGAGTGGCTGGTGGTTAGAAAATGCCTTAGGCACTACGCTACCAGAGCTGCCGTTATAATCATACATTAACTTCACACTGAGCCTGCGCACTTGTGGGAGGCGCAGGTCATATAGAGTCAAAACAGAACAACCAGCCGGAAATGCTGAGCACGTTCTGTGAAACTGTAACCAAGGTCGCAGCACAACTTGTGTAGAAGTTGTTGAATGGGAACCAAAATTGCTGTGTAAACCTTCACCAAAAACACAATAAAATAAAGAAATAGTGCCTTTGATTTGCTGCCGACTCACTGTGATCCTACGCACTTCCCCACAGGGTCTCCTGGCCTCTAATCTTTCGGAAGCAGATCACTGGGTTTTTCTGTCACACACCTACCAAGCACTTAACCGCTGCACCACCCACTGCCTGCCGAGTTGGTTCCAACTCATAGCGACCGTCTGCGAGGCGGAATCTCTACGGAAGTAAATTGCCCAGTCTTCCTTAAGAGGAGTACCTGGTAGGTTTTAACCCATATATAATGTAGTCTTCCAAAAAAAACCTGTTTGTAAAACTGATGGTCTGCAATGAGCCTTGTTCATCCACTGACTTTGAGACACTGGCAACACATCCGAGGATCCCAGAGAACCTAGTTTTGAGATCTGTGGCCAAATGACCAGGAACCTCGCCGCACCCTCTCTGCCACATTCACTCTGCGCTGCACAAGCTTCTTTCTGACACGTGCTTCCCTCCCTCCCTCGGAGCTGGCTGGCGAGGCCCCGCCCCTCTGACACACAGCCCGCCCCTTCCTCTGGCAGCCCCGCCGGATGCTCGGCACGTACCACTTGACTGTCCCGATGGGGGTGATACTAAAGACCGGTTTGGCGGAGACTTGTCCCCATCCCGTCTCTACTGGAGCTCATGTCTTGGCCCTCTAGGCTCACAGTGGCCTCCTGGAGGATCTGGAGCTGCCCTCACGCTCACCGTCTACTTCCTGCTCCCCTCCCGGCCCGGCAGGTTGCGAGGTCCTGGGCCGTGGGCGGGGCGAGGGAGGGGCGGGGACAGCAGCCCTGAGGGGCGGGGCCGGCGGCGCGCGGACGGAAGAGAAGCTGGTGAGGTCCCAGACGCGGGTGGCGGGGGTCAGATCCGGAACCCGGGGATCGGGAAGGACGGGAGCCGCCCAGGACAGTCGTGTGCGCGCGGGCTAGGCTCGATTGCTCAGCCGCCACGTCCGGCGTCCCTTTGGTCCCAGCCTGGGGACCTGGGACTGTGCTAGGCCCTAGACCTAAACTGTCCAGCTCCAAATTGCAGGGACAGTTTATTTCCCAGGGAGGTAGCCTCGCCCCGAATGGACAGACGAGCTCCCAACTCAGATCTTCGCCGCTGAGCCCGACAGGTAGAGCCACCAACACGGGCACGCGCGCACCTGCACGGACACCTCCAACTTAGACACAGAGGTACCCCTCACATCTCCAGCAGACGCACAGATGCCCTCCCGGTCCTGGGAGGGACAGGCGCTTTCTAACCGAATGCTCCAGACAAGAGCCACCTAAACACCGTGCTCTCCACACACCCCTTGCTGACAGCATTGGCCCTGGAAGGGACACACAGACACTTTCCAACCTGTGTGGGGACAGAGATGTGGACAGACACATGGTCCTTGCCCCACATCGCTGATCCGCGAAGTCAGCAACACCCGTCCGGCCCCTCTGGAGCCCTGTGTGAGGTGCTGGCCAGAGTCCAAGGTTAACAGACCCTGTGGGTTAGGCCAGACTCCTGTCTCCCCACCGGGCCACTACTAGCGTTCAGGGCCTGCCTGCTTTTGACCAGTTATCTTGTAGTTAGTGCCGTCCCTTCAATTCTGACCCATAGCAGTACCATGTGACAGAGTGGCCTTGCCCCATAGGGTTTCCCAGGCTGAAATCTTTAAAGAAGCACATTGTTAGGTCTTCACAGAGCCACTGGGCGGGTTCAAACCACTGACCTTTAGACGAGTTGTTGTTGTCGGGTGCCTTCGGGTTGATTCTGATTGATGACAATCCCACATTAAGAGCTGAGCTGGCCCATAGGGCTTCTTGGCTATAATCTTTGTGGAAGCAGATGGCCAGGACTTTTCTTCCATGCAGCTGCTGGGTGACTTTGAGCTGCCATCCTCTCAGTTAGCAGCGGAGCACTTAACTCAAGTGCCACCTTGGCTCCTTGACCCAAATGGAGACTTTGTGTCCATCCCACAGCTCGGAACTTTGTTCTGAGAGCTGTGGGATGCCTCGGGTATGCCTGTGACCAGGGCAAGGGGGGTCTCGAGTTTGAGACCAGCTTGTGATCTGTCCCTCACAGTTCCTTTGCAGGAACCCCGGCTTCGTCATGGACTCAGAATGCTCCCGGCTCCTCCCGGCTCTCTGTGCTGTCCTGGCAGATCCAAGGCAGCCAGTGACAGATGACACCTGCCTAGAGAAACTCCTGGACTGGTTTAAAACAGTAGCAGAAGCAGGTAAGGGTGGGGGAGGCTGTGACTGTAGCGGAAAAGACGGGACGAGGGACACGGGTCCTCCTGTGATGGCAGAAGGGGAGGAGTTATCATTGGGCATCTTTCTTTCACTTCATGAAGATTCTGGGGCAAGTCGAGCTGAAGCAGGAGTGAATGGTAAGGAAAGCTTGAACTTGAAATCCCTCTCGGACTTGCCCCTGTAGTTCAGTCAGGCATTCAGTGCACGCTACTGGTCAGCTCTGAGTCACGGCAACCCCACGTGTGTTGGAGCGGAACGGTGCTCCATATAGTTTCCAACTGCTGATGACTTTGGAATTAGATTGCCAGGGCTTCCTTCCCTTCCACCTTTTGGTTACCAGCTGAGTACTTAACGGTTTGCACTACCCAGAGACATCAGGTTCACTGCCCTGTACTGCCTTCTTCCATGTGATTGTTGTCTAGTAGCTGAATTTCTTGTTTTGTGTCAAAAATTGAGCAATCTACTTCTGTACTGATACTGCCTCAGAAACCCAAGGAGGGGTTGCTATGAGTCTGGACTGACTTAACAGCAGTGAGTTTTTTATGTCATCACTTTTTTCAGATTTACCCACATGGTTCCAGATTTACCACTATTGGTTTCTTTATTTCTCTCTTTTCTCTTCTTTACTCTGTTCATTTTCCTTCCTGCTGAACCACACTCTTAGTGGTTCTCTCAGCAAAGGTCTCTCAATGGAACACTCTCCCATTCTCTGCCTCAAAATGCCTTTTCCCCCATCGGTGCTTTTCAAGGATAGCCTAGTTGGGTATAGAATTTTAGGAGGCAGAGTCTGGCACAGAATCCCTATTTCACTGTAATTCCTTGCATGGCTGATACTATGAGTTTAAGAGAAAAAGTATCAATTTGATGCATAAAAATGGTGTTTCATTTTAATTTTCTTTTGGATAATCACTGAGATAGAATTGTTTCAGTATCATTAGCCATTTGTATCTCTAGTCTGTGACCTTCACTTGTTTTCACTCTTAGCTCCAGTCAAGCTGGCCCCTGACTCTGCATGATAACCCCATGCACAATGGGGTCAGACCATTGTGAGCCATTGTTTACAGAAGTAGATTGACTTTCTCTTCATCTTAATCCCTCTCAGTGCAGCAGCTCTGCTGAAACCTGTTCAGCATCATAGCGTCATGCAGGCCTCTGCTGAAGGACGGGTGGTGGCCGTGCGTGGGGTGCCCTGCCTGGCAACTGAACCTGGGGCCCTGCGTGGAAGGGGAGAGGTCTGCCACTCAGCCACCACTGCTCCTGCTTGTTGTGGAGACGATGGCTTTCTAGCCTTCCTCTCCTTGTTGAATTAAAGCTGTGAGTCCTTTGCCAGTTGCATTTCTTGTGAGTAATTTTTCCAGTGGCTGGCTGAAACTAACAGTGTGAGAGGACAGGGGTTTGAGAACTGATGAAGAGGAATGGAAGCCACGTCGCCCCATGTACCTGGCGACCTCTCTCTTCCAGAATCCAGTCTCCTGCTGTTGCAGGAGAACCCCTGCCTGGTCGAGCTGCTGTCCCACACCCTGAAATCCCAGGACATGAGTGCCCGCGTCCTCTCCTTTTCACTTCGCCTTGCAGGGATCTTTGCAGCCCAGGAAAACTGCTTCCAGTATCTTCAGGTGAGCCTGGATCCTCCCAACTGGGCAACCTACTGTGAGGTGGACATCTCTCCTTCCTGTATATAAGACATCTGTAGGTAGCAAGGTCACTAAGTCTCAGAAACTTGGCTTGCTCCAGGGTCTTGACAGTTGTCTCAACCAGGGAAGCCAGCCTCACAGAAGAACTGGGATAGATGAGTTGTCAAGGGTGACTAGCAGGTAGCAGTACCAGGTGAAGGACATGGCTGTCTCGGGGTGGGAGGTGCAGGGTCTGAAAGGTGAATGGCAATACTGCTGTGGGTGCTGCCAAGTCCGTTCTGATCCGGCGATCCCACGGGACAGAGTAGAACTGCCCATAGGGTTTTCTAAGCTGTAACCTCTACGTGAGAGAAAGATGTGGCCGTCTGCTTCTGTAAAGATGATGGCTTTGGAAACCCTATGGAGCACTTCTACTCTGTCCTGTGGGGTCACTAGGAGTCAGCATTGACTCAACGGCTACGGGTTTGGTGGTGTTTTGTTTGTTACCTTCATGGGAGCAGATCTCCTTGTCCTCCTGTGAAGCTGCCGAGTGGGTTTGAACTGCCGACCTTCAGTTAGTGGCTGAGTGCTTAACCAGTGTGCCACCAGGGCTCCTTATCAGACAATGGATGTATATATATTTAAAAAAAAAAAAAAGTAGGCGTGAGGAGTACCTGGAAAGGGAGGCTGGGGGTCCCTTGACATATCTGAAATCCCAGGTTCAGGGGTTCAGACTCGTTAATAGACTACAGAGAACCATGGGGGAGGGTTTACGTGAAGAAAGACACAGTCGAAGGTGTTCCCTTGAAGGTGAAGGTGGGTGGGTTCTGGGAGGATGATTTCTAAGTGGAACTGTAGTGGGGTTGATAGAGATGGAACTGGGATCGGTTTTCTTCTCCCAAGCCCCCTCCTCTGGAAGGCAGAGTTAGCGGGGCCGTGGCTCCCGTCTGTAACCCGTGGGGAGCGTTTGCTGCCTCACAGGAAGACACGTGCCCAGGGGCTCTTTCCATTGGCATCTTATGTGAACGTGCCCCCAAAAGTGCTTCCTCCAGCCCTGGGAAAATAACCTCGGTATCAACAACTGGACACCAAATTAGACAGCCTGGAGGAAAGGACAGACTAGAAACACACCAGCTGCCTGAACTGACTCGGGAGACAGAAACCGGCAGCAGGCCTGTAGCAAGTAGAGAGATGGGATCAGTCATTGGAATCTAGCAGACACTGAAGAGACGGAATGAAAATCTCCCAACAAAGAAAAACTCGGGGCTGGACTGGTGAATATTTCTAAATATTTAAAAAGTGATTAACACCAGTGCTTCTCAAACCCTTCAAACAAAAGAGGAGGAGATCCTGGGTAGAGCGGGTGAACAATGTGGAACAAAATGCAGAATCATTTAAAAAAAAAAGACCAAGTTTCCTGGTCTGATAGAGCCTGGTGAGACCCCCAAGACTATGGGCCCTAGCTGCCCTGCAGGTCTGCAATTGAACTCACTCCCGTGGCTTTCAGCCAAACAATAGACAGGCACATGGGGTGAACATTTGTATCAGGTGGACACACTCCTTAGAGCGATGGGTCATGGGAGAACAGAAGGTCTGTGTTTGCACAGAGAGACAGCTCGGAGTGCATGGAGGGATGGACACAGGGAAGAGGTAACTACAGGGAGGAAGTGGGAGGGGAGCTGTTGCATTGTGGGAAATTACAGTCAATGTCATGAGACCAGGTGTGTATGAACTGCTGCATGGAATATGAGTTTGCTCTGCAAGCTCCCACCCAAATCACAATAACAATTTAAAACAGAAAGAAAGAGAAGGTGAGTGGTGAAGGTTCCACAGGGAGGGAGGAGGTGGGAGGAGGCTGTTGTGGGGGTTGCGGTCAGTGTCACAAAACAAAACGTGTTGGCTCTGTAAATTTTCACCCAAATCACAACACACAAGAAAAATAGAGGAGCAAGGACCACTTCCTAACTGTTCTAGAGGCCAGCGTGACCTTGATCCTGAAGCCAGGTGAACACACTCCCAGAAATGACAGCCACAGACTAAAAGCCCTGTGGGCGTTGTTGCAGATTCCTGAACTAAACACCAGCAAACGAATCCCGAATCCTGCAGAGTCTGGAGTGGGTTACGGAAGATAAATGAAGAATAACCTCTGGTGGGCCCTGGATCCCACGGGGCCCCACCTTCTTTGCCTCCAGCAGGGGGAGTTGATGCTCGGACTCTTTGGGGAGGCGGGCCCTGTCGGCCTGCCGGCCTGGAGCGTCCCCTCCGTGCGCAGCGGCTGGATCCAAGGCCTGTGCTCCCTGGCACAGCACCCCAGTGCCGAGCAGTTCCTAGTCGACTGTGGTGAGTGAGGCCTGCGCCCCTGCCCCTCACATCCCCCTTTCAGTCCCATCTCCAGCCTGTGGGGCATCGGGCCTCCCCGTGGCTCCAGCACTTCACCTTCCTGGGCTTTGGTTTTCTCATCTGCAGAAAGTCACTGTGCTGTGTGATCTTGGACAAGTTGCTTAACCTCTCTGAGTCTACTTGCCAGTAAAATCTGGATACTAGGACCTCCCTTACAGGGGAGTTGCAAAGTTTAGATGACAGAACGTGTGTAAGGATGCTAACACAGTGCATAAGACTAACAGTGTGACCTGTTTAGTCCACGTATTTATTCCATGTATGTATGTTTAGTCCATAGATGCATGTGTGTGTGTGTATATATATATATGTGTATATATATTTTTATTTCCCATGTATGTACATTGTTGTTGTTGTTGTGTGCCATCGAGTCAGACGTGACTCATAGCGACCCCTCCTAGGGTTCCAAGGCAGTATCACTATGGAAGTAGATTGCCCCATCTTCCTTCTGAGGAGTGGCTGGTGGGTTTGAACCGCCAGCCTTCTGGTTAGCAGTCAAATGCCTTAGGCACTATGCTACCAGAGCTCCTTGTATGTACACAGACACACATATATACATACAAACATACATACATATGGAGCCCTGGTGGCACAGTGGTTAAATGCTTGGTTGCCAAGTGAAAGGTCGGTGGTTTGAACCCACCGGCTGCTGTGTACTACTGTAGTAGAGATACCACAGATGGGTGCTTTCAAACAGAAACATTCTCTCGCGGTCGAGGAGGCTGGAAGTCTGGATTCAGGGCGCTGGCTGTAGGGCGGGCTCGCTGTCTCTGTCAGCTCTGGGGGAGGCCTTGGTCTCCTTCGAACAGCCGTGTCCTTGGAGGTCTCCGTGAGGCTTGGCATCAGTCTCCCCCTGGGTCTGGGGCTTCTCAGCACAGGGACCCCGGGTCCAAAGGCTCAGCTCTGCCCCCAGCTCCACTTCCTTGGTGGTGCCGAGTCCCTCTGGTCTCTGCCCATGGTTTAACCCCTTAGTCCTGTGATGGCAGCCTGCGACGCTGACATCACTGCCGCTAACCCGGCCTTGTTAACATCACGGAGGTGAGAATCCACAACGGGGTAGTTGCTTCACTAGATGGAGGATACATACGTGATGCTGAGAGTCAGGCCCAGCCAAGTTTGCTCATAGCCATAACCATCACCACCAGCCTGCCTCGTGCCTCCCATCTCAGCGTCCGCTATGGCCAGATGGGTGTCATTAATGCACAGGATAGTCAGATAGGACGCATTTCATCATCGTCATAAAGGCAGATTGCAGGTATCGAGGAGGTCGGTCAGTGAGGGTAGGTGTCTGTTGCCTTTCTGGTTTTTTTAATGCAAACAAGGTTGATAGTTTATCTCTCTTAACTCTGTTTTACAGGCCCCATTTTACAGACCAGGAAAACAGAGTTGAGAGACCTGTAAACCATCTCAATGAGGTGATAGCAGGTGTGACCGTGCTCCAGCTAAAGCTTTCTTCTTTCTCCCCCACTGTCACCTCCCTAGGTGCTGTAGACACCCTCTTCTCCTTGCAGGGCGATTCCAGCCTTTTTGTGGCCTCTGCCGCCAGCCAGCTCCTGGCACAGGCCCTGAGTTTATCCCTACAAGGCAGAGACACCCCACAGCTCGGCTCCCAGGACAGCGACTGGCCCTCATGTGCCCGGAGCATCGTGGGCCACCTGGAGGAGGCCTTGCGATCCAGGGCCACGCCGCAGGTCACACAGGCACTTAAGGTCCTGACCACCACGTTTGGGCGTTGCCACCACCCCTGGACACAAGCCCTTTGGATGCAGCTGAGCCCTCTGGTGACCTGTCTCCTGGAGAAGGACCCCATCCCTGCTGCCCACTCGGTCGCTGACCTTTTCCTCACCATGGCACGGTCAGCCCTGGGATCCGTGGGGGGCCCAGGAGTGGGGGGTCCTGTGGAGCGGGGGCTGCTTCCCTCAGAAAGCCCTAGAGCAGGTGCTGCACCTGGGGCTGCCTGTCGTTGGAAGCCAAGATTTGAGGGGTGCCTACCCCTCAAGAGTACTGCTTCTCGCAGAGGTGTACTCAGGGTCGACTTGGAAAGGCCCGGCGTTCTGCTGTGGAAAGGTCCCAGCCATGGGAAGCCCCGTGGGGCACGGTTCTGCTCTGCCGTCTGTAGGGGTGCCCAGACGCGGCGGCGACTTGACAGTGGCTGCTTTTGAGGCTGCTGTTTCTTTGGGGTTTTTCTCGGCAGGTCTCCTGTGTTTGCTTCTTCGGACTGTGACCTGTGGGTGATGCTGGTCCGGACTCTGAGCCGCCTGAGCCCCACACAGGCAGGGCCCCTGGCTCTCGGGGTCTGCAAACTCCATGTCTGGTATGGACCTGGGCGTGCCATTGGGTGTCTGCTCCAGTCACTCCTGGGGTGGAGCCCCGGGCTGGGGTAAGGCGAGGGCTCACATAGAGCCCTGTCTCAGGAAAGATACAGGGCTCTTGAGACGAGGGGCTGCCAAGGTGCTGACGAGGCCGTGCACCTTACTGCCGGGGCTTGCCGTAGACTGGTGGCATCTCAACCATTCTCTTGTTGGCTTCTACCACCAAACTGACCCAGACTCACGGTGACCCCATGTGTGTCAGCAGAATGGCCCCAGAGGGTTTCCTAGGCTGTCATCTTTACAGGAGCAGACCACCAGGTTTTTCTCCCTTGGACTCACTGGGTGGGTTTGAACAGCTGACCTTTCAGGTAGCAGTCCAGTGCTTAACCATGGCGCCAACAGGGCTCCTTAAACTTTCTTGAGCCGTGGAGTAAGTTTTGAAACCAAAGCCATAGGATCTCCCAGGTAGGGAACAGACGAGCAGAGCTGCCGCCAAGGATGAGAAGGCCAGGGACAGGCCCCTGGGAAACTTAAAAGAGCCCTGGCGCTTGTGGTTCACAAACACGGGTACACGCAGGGACAGGGAAGCCATGAAGGGGACAAGACCACAGCTCCAGTTGGTTGAGGCAGCCCTTGAAGGACAGGTGGGGTCAGCAGAGTGGGGAGGATTGTGGGGTGTGTTTCTGGTGCCCTAGTAGATGGGAGCTGGGCCTAGCTCAGGGTGGACGTGGCCTCAGGGCCCAGTCCTCAGAGGGCCTGGCTTTGGGGTCTCGGCGGAGGCTCTCAGAGGAGTCCACACCACCCCTGACAACCAGGGTGTGAGCCTCTTAGAACCTGGGAGAGCCCCTCCCAGACGGGAGGTGAGACACCCTGGGAAGTGGCTTCCGGGGGCCCTCCATCACAGCGGAGTGGATCCTGCCTGTCTCAGTGACCTTGAGCCCCCCAGGGACAGCCCCTGAGGCTGCCAGTGTCACACCAGGCCTGGCTTGTGCCAGGCCTGTCCTCGCCTTGTGGTCGCTGTGCCCACAGGACAGCCATCTCCTAAGGGGTGTCCGCAGTCCAGCCCTGCCCGTTCCCCCAGGCTTGCTGGGGTCGTGAGGGAGGGTGGGCACAGGAGATCATCATGTGCCCCTTGTCCCCAGTCCCCTGGCTCTGAGAACCCAGGCCTTTGATGTCCTCCTTCAGCCGATGGCCTGCATCCTGGAAGCTGCTGCCCAGCCCCCAGGGCCTTCAGGTGAGCTGCTGAGAGCCGTGGGATGGACAGTGGGTGGGGTGTAGGAGCTGGGTGCTGCAGCTCAGACCTCCCGGGGGAGGTGGCGGGAACAGTGGCGGCCGTGTGCCCCCACCCCCCCCACTTTCTGCTTTGGTTCTGCCCGATGAAGACAGCAGGGCATCGCAGGGGCGATCTCTCCTGCCTGGACACAGGTTCCCCCAAGTGTGGGCGCCACTTGCCCTGTTGCCCTGAGGCAGCGCCCCCCTCAAAGACTCTGCCCGATTTGAGGCGTGGGGCCACAGCGGTGGGGCTCAGAGAGCAGGGGCATGCCTCGCAGCGGCCACGGGGGTGCTGCTGTTAAAGCAGCTGGTCCCTTGTCCCCAGACTTGCTGGACGGGACTAGGGGCAGCTCCAGCATGGCGGACACCCTCCTGGCCTCCACGTCTTCCTGCGCCGGCCTCTTGTGCCAGAGTTTGGCCCACCTGGGGGAGCTGCAGCCACTGGTGGGTGTGGCCGGCTGCTGGTGGGTGGGTGGTGGGTGTGGCCCGGGCGGGGGTGGGGAGTGGAAACTGCAGCTGCTGGTGGGTGTGCCCAGGTGGGGGTGGGTCGCTGCAGCCACTGGTGGGTGTGGCCTGGCTGCTGGTGGGTGTGACCCAGTCGGTGGTGGGTGTTCCCTGCCGAGCCCTCTCTCCCCTCAGTCCCACAGCCCCCGGCCCTGGCCGCAGGCACCCTTGCTGGAAGCCACTTTGGCGACGTTGCGCTTCTGCAACGGTTCGGCAGTGCCGCTCTCCAGCGTGGGGGTCCGCCTCTGTGGGATCTTGGCTGGATGTGTCCGCGTGCAGCGCGCAGCTCTCGACTTCCTGGCGGCGCTCTCCCAGGGGACGGGTATGATGTCATTTCTCCTAACGTGATGGGCGGCAATCCTCACCCCTTGGGTGGTTTGGAGCCATGTTCTCCGGGCGCCCCTGGGGTGGGTCTCAGCCTTCCTGAGTCCTGAGCCTCAGAAGGTTGGGTCCTGCCGCCCCTGAGGGATCTGTGGGGGCAGGTGCTCATCCCGCGAGTCTGCCGTAGGGTCCCCAGACTTGGTGATGAAGGTGTCGGCGGTTCTCCTGGAGTACCTGCGGAGCCCGGATTCCAGCCCTATGGTAAAGGGGAGGGGTGCAACAGGGGAGGGGCGGAGCCTGCGGGGAGGGCGGAGCCTGTAGGGGAGGGCGGGGACTGCAGTGGAGGGGCGGGGCCTCGGGGAGGGGGCGGGGCCTCAGGGCCCCTTCTCCAGAGAGCGGGGCACAGGGGGCTGCCCCAGGTTGTGTGCAGGTGAGGTGTTGGGCCGTGGCCTGCAGGAGAGCTTGGTACCATTGTGATACCAGCACTGCATGATGCCACTAATGGAAACTCCTATGATGAGCACGTCTGGCATCGGCCTAAGGGTGGACGCCGCACCACTGGGAGAGGGCTATGGGTCACTCAGCGGTGGCCAGCTGGTTTCCACCAGCCTTGCCGTCCAGGGGGCTAGAAGCATTTCTTGGCAACCTTCCCCTTCTCACAAACCCACAGCTGGTTCGGTGCTCTGGGTGGGCCCAGGCTTCATGCCACGAGCCAGACAGCGGAGGGATTTGCACGAAGACTGGAGGATTCTTGGGTTTTAAGACAAAGGTGGCTTGAGTGACCCCGATGTCTGGGTGCAGAGACCCCATCACCCCCCACAGGAGCGAGGTGTGGGAAAGGCCGCCTCGTCCTTTCTCTCCCATGGTCTGGGGTGCTAGTTCTTCCAGAATCTTCCGGCTTACGGGAATGAAATCCAGGGTTCACTTCTCCCTACACCCCTCCGCCATCTTGCACCCTGAGGGCAGAGGCAGGAGCCAGGTGACGGCAGACTGGGAGTGGTCACGGTGGGCCCCCTGGCCCTTACAGCCCCCCACACCCACTCCAGGTCCTGAAGAAGGCTTTCCAGGCCACTCTCCAGTGGCTCCTGACTACGTCTCAAGCCGGTGGCTCCTGCGACCCCAGCCCCCACAGCCAGCCGTTCATCGGAGGTACCCCAGCCTCCCCAGGGGTGGAGACAGCTGGGTTGGGCTAGCAGGCAGAGTCCTGCCGCTCCTGGGATAGTGGGTGGGAGTGGAGACCACGCTGACTGCCGGGCCGGGGGTGTCGCAGAGCTGTTCCCCGTGATGCAGAAACGTCTTTGCAGCCCCTGCTGGGAGGTGCGGGACTCAGCCCTTGAGTTCCTGACCCACCTGACCGCACACTGGGGAGGTGAGTGTTCCTGCTGGGCAGATGGGACCCAGGCTTGGGGAGGCTGAGGGCTGCCCCTTCCTGAGGGTCTCCGTCGCCCTGTGGCTGCTCCGCTGCAGGACAGCCTGGCTTCCGACAAGCCCTCTTGGCCTCAGACGCGCCCGAGCTCGCCAAGCAGCTTCTCCGAGACCCCGAGGGCTACGTCCGCGCAAGCGCAGTGGCTGCCATGGGGCAGCTGGCCGCCCGGGGGCTGCATGCCAGCTCTGCCCACCCTGAGCAGCCAGGAGCCCAGCAGGTAGGGGCCCAGAGCGCCAGTGCCCACCCCACCGCAGGCAGGGCCACCGAGGACACCAGGCAGGCTGACAGCTGACGGCAGCATGTTGCCATCGGTGGTGCCCACAGGCCCAACCGTTTGGTGAGCAGGTGTCTTAGTCACTGATACCACACGTGGGTGGTTTGAAGAGCAAGAATTCACGTTCTCACGTGTCGAGAGGGTTGAAGCCCCAGTTCAGGGCACGGGCTCT